TCCTCTCATTCTTTCCCTCCCCCTCTCTCTGTTCTCTTCTGCCACTCCTGTCTCCAGAGGCCAGTCTCCCCTCTCCCCCAATAAAAAACCCTTCCACCCAAGCTCTGTCACATGGCATCTTTCTCTCATGCACTGCTTTTTTAAATTACAACAGATGTGATGTCAGAATAACTAATCTTTTAGTCTCATTTGATGAAGATTCCAGGAATGTTGTTGAAATTGGGCTGTTTTGAAGATGTCTTAGTTAGGGTTTTTATTGGTGTGATGAAAGACCATTACCAAAAGCTAGTTGGGGAGGAAAGGGTTTATTAGGCTTATATTTCACATCATAGTCCATGATTAAAGGGAGTCAGGATAGGGACTCAAACAGGACAGGAACAAGGAGGCAGGAACTGATGCAGAGGCCATGGAGGGGTGCTGCTTATTGGCTTGCTCCCAATGGCTAACTCAGCCTGCCTTCTTATAGAACCCAGGACCACCAGCCCAGGGATGACACTACCCACAATGGACTGGGCCTCCCCACATCAACCACTAATTAAGCAAATGTTCTACAGGCTTGCCTACAATCATATGGGGGATGTTTATAAACGGAGACCCCCCTGTAGGTCAAATTGACATAAAACTAGCCAATATAGAAGGTTAATTGTATCGAATTTCACTTAACTAGCTCTGTTTGTCTTCTTAATATAAAATAAGTTTTACTTTAAAAAAAATCTTAATTCTGGAGATATTGAATTATCCAGCTCTCTAACTTGAAACACTTAGGATGTGTTGTATATAATCTGTATTTAAAATTTTAAGGCCAGATGTGATGGTACAGAGCCAGCACTTGAAATATGGAAGCGGGAGGCTTGGGATTTGAAAATCCTGTTCAATGATCTATTGAGTTCAGGAGCTGCCTGGGCTTCATGAAGACTTATTTCCCAAACCTTAATAGAGAGTTAGGAAAATGGTTTAGTAGGTAAGGCTTAGATTGCTATCATGAGGACCTGAGTCTTCTGGCTAGAATACACATGAAAATGACAGGCACAGTGGCAAGTGCTTGTAATCCCAGTACTGGGGAGGTAGAGACAGGAAGATCCTTGGGGATTCCCCCTGATTGGTAGGATTGGAACCAAAGAGAGACTCCACCTCAGAGAAACTATGTGGTCCCTGAGGATGTTACTAGAGGTTATCCCCCAACCTTCACACACATGTGCAGATGTACCTGCATACACATGAACACACAAAAATTGATGGGTGGATTCAAGTTGTATTTTCTTTTCTTTCAGGTTGCATCTACGACAATGACTAGCACTCAGGCTGTCCATTCTACTGTGTCTGTTAGTAGACAACATGAATTTTAATTGGAATGATCTTGGGTATCATAGAAAAAAAATGAATGTACAAAATGAAATTTCAATCTTTTTATAAAATTTTCAAATTTTAAATTTGGAAAATGAACTCTGTTTAATATGTCAAAAGATTAACAGTGAGATATAAGAATTTATCTCCTTTTTTCTCTTCTCTTTTCTTTTGAGCAGGGGGTTCTTTGTAGTTCTGGCCATCTTCCTGCCTCAGCCTCCCAAGTGCTATGAAAACAGACATGAAGCACCACATCTGGCTTAAGGATCCTATTTTACTTTAGTTATGCTTATGAAGATACTTTGTTTTAAGACCACCATTAGGGAATCTCCCCTATCATACCCCTTTTTAAAGAAATAAAGAAAAACAAAGACGTCTTAGAGGAAGAAGAAAGAAGAATATAAAGAAGTAGTTTTTATTTTTAATTCCACAAGAAGACAACCTATTGCTCATGCTAGCATTACATCACCTGTTCAAATTACCTACCCAGAAAAGGCAGAGCTAGCTCCTCTAGTTTCTGAAAGACAATGTAGCAGCAGAACATTTGTATTGAATTTTCCCCCCTGAACACTGTGAACTCATATGTTAATTATCCAATAAACATGCTTTGTCTTTTGTATGCACATTTAAGATCAACCTGTACAAGAGTCTAAAGCAAGTCTTATTTTGTGGATCCATACACACATGGTTGAATTCTCTACTCTGTTTAGATGCCATTGTTAACTAGAGAAATGGAGGGGGAGCACATGACAATTGTGAATGCTGGAAGAAAGAACCTTGAAACTCATGCTCCTTTTACAGTGACTCCTTACTGTGAAGTCTCTTTTAAAGGTTTTTGTGTTTTGCTATCAATTGCCTCTGCAGAACCTAGTGATGTTTATAACCACTTTGCTAGAAAGTTGTTCAGTCGAAGGAACACAAGGCAGTAAGTCCCAGTGGTTGGCTTAGGATGCTCCCCATTGAGACATACTCCTCACCACCTCCTCCAGACTGTAAAGCACTGGCTTTTGAATGCTGAGAACACTAAGCACCACGAACCAAAACACAATGCCTCAACATCCAAACAGATAACAGATTGGAAGATGTGTTTTGAAATTAGTAAATCCTCCTGCTGGTTTTCTTATTGACCGTGATGCAACCTTGGCAATTTTCATTACCCTCCCAGTGTCCTTAGAGGATAGGATTCAATTAAGTTTACCCCAACATTTTCCACTACCCATTAATTAAAGCTTTTATGGTTCCCCCATCTCAGATGCACACTTCAGAATTTTTTTTCTTTTCCAAGGACATGAACAGCAACCGAGGAACAACAGTCAAGGTTGTCCTCTGGACTCCATGTGTATATGCCCTCACACACATAGGAACATAAACACACATGAAAACCTATAAAGTAGCTCAAAGCCTTCAAAAGGTTAGAACTGGGGCTTCTAGTAAGTGTTTTGAAATTTTAAAAATGTCAGTGTCGTCTATAGCTCAACTTAGAGGGCACGGGACTCTGAGTCTCCTGGGTTGGAAATTATAGCCTTTGATTAGAAGTACTTTGGTGGCATTAATATCCTTGTGTTCAACTTCTTTTGTCACTAGATACAAATTACATGGCTCAAAAGTGGCTGTATGTTAACTTTGGAATCAAATATAGATTATATGCTGACTATATTTCCAGTAATTTTCCGTGATTAAGAATAACACAAATTCAATACAAATGTTAGGTTTTAAAGAATCCCAAATTAGATCGAGAGACTATTTCAGCTTTGATTTATATTCAAAGAAATGGACAGATACCTATGAGAGATTTATGCAATAATTATTTAATGTGTATTTGAAGTGTTAATTTTAATATACTAAATGTGATTTTGTTGTAGATTGTGTGTGAGATTTTGTCATGTGGGAAGAACTGCCAATAAAATGCCTTTTCAGCAAGTGACCCTGCCCTCTGCTTCATATGCACATCAAGGCCACCGTCTTTCCTCTCTCTCAATGTGATTCTGTCTACAGAAGAACCCTATCTGTACCATCCTCCTCCTGCCTCTTGATACATTGCTTCCGATTTTGTCTTAGAAACAGATAGCTAAGTACAATTCTCTCCAACTCCCTGAGACGTAAATTTAACCCATGTTCAAAATGCTCAGAGGGTAAGACATCACAATCGGAATTCAAAGCCATAACCAAGGATCCAATTTCCTCCTAACTTGTCTCTGAGTTTCTTCCTCCATAATCCATTCATGCTCTTTATTCCCTTTCTATCTTCTTCTCTTTTTTACCTCCTCCCCTCCTTCTTTCTCTCTCCCTCTTTCTCTGCCACGTCTTTCTTCCCTCCCTCCCTTCTTTCCCCATTCCTTCCTATCTTTAACTTCTGCTGTGAGTAGCTTTCTCTGTATATTTAAAATATATTAAAATATTTCTTAGCAATAAGAAAACCTGAAATTTTAACTTGAACCTGAATACTTCACCCACAACCCATTTCCACACTCCCTTTCTCATTCCATTATCTTAAACTGGTGAGGTGTATGCACCAGCTGTTACAACATGCCTCAGATTCCTCCAGTTGTTTGGAATTTGTTGACCCAAAGGCTCCCGCTACTGTGCTTCTGAGAGCATCACCAGGTTTGTGTAGAGATCAAGGTCCCTACAGAGTGTCCTAACCAGCGATTGAGGATAACAGGGACAGAAGGCAGCATACAGACTCTTCACAGAGCAAACCCAGTCAGTTGAGGCCTCCCTAGCAGCCCTGCTAACCCCTCCTTAGAGTTCCAACCATCCTGCCTTCTGCCTTCACTGGGGCAGGTACTCACTGCTGTCAGCAGGCTCCTCCACATCACCTGGATGGCTCTCTTACACACACCCGTTCCTTCCTGTCCACCAAAAGAGAACTCCTGCATTTTCAGCCCATCTTGATGTCAGCTTTCCAGGGAAACCAGACTAAGCACAGTACAGCTTGAAAGATTATTAAAACCTGTATCTGTCTGGGTAGTGGTGGCACACACCTTTAATCCCAGGACTCATGAGTCAGACAAAAGCAGATGTCTCTGAGTTCTTGACCAGCCTGATCTATAGAGTGAGTTCCAGGGCAGCCAGGGTTACACAGAGAAACCCTGTCTTGAAAACACTGAACCAAACAAACAGATCAAAACAAAGCAAAAAAACAACAACAAAACCTGTATCTGAACCCTGGGATAAACTGAATCAGAATTTGGGGAACTAACTTTGGAAAGCATCTTTAAGTAACACTGAATGTGAGTTTGAGGCTACATTTGAGCATTCCCCACCCTGTTCATCCTTTCTCGTGTTCTCAAGATCCACTCCATCTCCAGATGGCTCCAACCTGGCTTCTGCTGCCATCACTTTAAAGCCATTTCTTTGCAATGTCCCCAAAGAGCCTTATAGCAGTTAAGGCAATGGTAACTTTTATAAAGGAAAACATTTCATTGAGGCTGTCTTACAGGTTCAGAGGTTTAGTGTATTACCATCTCAGTGGGAAGCATGGTGTCATGTAGGCAGACTTGGTACTGGAGAAGTTGTTGAGAGTTCTGCATCTGAATCCACAGGCAGCAGGAAGAGAGAGACACTGGGCTTGGCTTGAGCATTTTGAAATCCCAAAGCCTACCCACATTGATACACTTCTTCCAACAAGGCCATACCTACTCCATACCTCCTAACTGACTCATTCCCTTCGAGCCTATGGAGCCATTTTCATTCAAACCACCACTGTAACCCCTCAAACTGTAAGGCTAAATAAATCCTTCCTTCAGTTTCCTCAGTTAGGTGTTTTGTCACAGCAGTATGAAAAGTAACTGACGTATTAACTTCATAAGACTCCAAATGGAATTCTTTCTCTGACCTGAGAGCTAATTATTCTTCCTCTATATTTTTCCTCACTGGCATCTCTGTTATCTTATTACCCAAGCTTGAAACTCAGAAGTCTGTTTCTACTCTTTATCTTCTTTGTTCAGTGAGATACAGAGCCCCATGAAAACAAGGACTCTTGCCTTATTTGCTTTTATATCCTTTTATAAAGTGGTATTTGAAGCTCTTAATAATATATTTGATAATGGAAGAGTCAGTGGGTGGTGCGTATATAAGGATGTGTTAAGCCTGTAGGCTGCCAGTTTTTCTTAATTACATTTCAAGTGCCTTAAGAGCTTCAATGAATGGGTAGCTAAGCTACTACCCTCCCTAAAACATAGGTTACTGCTGACTTTAGATTCACTTAAGTGATCATGATCAAGATCAAGTTGATCACAATAGTGCTGGGCCTTCTGGAAACAGATGGTGGGACAGAGAATAGATTACAACTTGTCTCTTAGAGATTGGTATGTATGAAAGGAAGAAGGAGCAACTTTGCTCAAAGAAGATGGCTGAATGTGATACAGGGCTGGCAAAGTTTGGAGCAAACAGAGAGGCCTCTGAGTAAATGCTTCATCTGTTGTCTCCCTTTAGACAAAGTGGTAAACCTTGAACAGAACCCTTCATATTCTTCATTGTGTAAGCCTCCTCATCCCAAGAGAGGCACAGCCTTGTGACAGATGAGTGCAGCTGTGGCAAACCTGGGAGTGACAAAGACATGGCTATCGGCATACCCCTCTCACTTATTTGAGAGAATCAGCTAGGTTGTATAACCTTAAACAAGATTCTGAACTTTTTAAGGACTCAAGGTCTTTTATTTATAAAATATGAAAGTGTATACTTAGTGACTAAAAATTAATTGAAACAAAATTCTTGCCTTTTAAATAATGTGTGCATGGGGTAGGGACATATGTATACATGAGTTCAGGTACCTGAGCAGGCCAGAGACGACTGATCCCCCATGGAGCTAGAATTATAGGCAGAATTAGAGATTATGAGCCACTCAATGTAGGTGTGGGAACAGAACTCGAGTCCTCTGCAAGAGCAGCAAGTACCCATAACCATGGAGCCATCTCTCAGCCAGCCCCAAAATTATTTTTAGAGAATATCACAGTTTTGTTTACACATTAAGCTCAAAATCATACTTCTACATATTCTTACTTTGTTTTCTTGAAGAATTCAGTTCTCTAACATTCCTTGCTCATTGTTTGTAGCTCCATGGACGAATAAATGGTTGTATGCTATGAAAAACACTGGTGCTTACACTGACAAGATGGCAACTTGATACTCAGCTTTTGGTCTGGGCATGGCAGGGAGCAGTGAGGACTGTGGCAAACTGTAGAATTTATGTTCTAGGCACAGGAGTAAATTGCTGATGGTGATAGGTATTTTCCATTCAGATAACCCTTTCCAACATGCTTGTTACTGTTCTGTGCCCTTTGAGCCTAACCTTTATCAGCTCCCTCCAGAGGATCACCTGACTACCAGCTTCTGTATCATGTGACCTGTGGGGAACAACAGCAGCCTATCAGAGACACAGAGAATGAGGTTTCTTTAGAATCTTTCTGGAGGAGTCCCCATAGCTGGTTGTGTCCTTGCTCCCCTGAATTCCAGCTCACTCAGACAGACTTTTCCACATGGTACAGGCTGTCTGATTTCATTGCTTCTCCCTCATCTGGCTCCGTCAGGATTGCAGACACACCCAGTAAGTGTCAGTTGAAGGAAATCCCTCTATTTGGAGTTTCCATACACTGTCTATCCACTTGTAAACATGCCCTGTTCTTGTTTCCTCAGACTTCTCAGTTTGAGTTAACCATTTGTTTTCCACCTAAGCCCTATAGAAACATGACTCAATTGTAAAGGCTTATGAGTCCCATGCCACTAAGTTTTCTCACAATTTAAATAGAAAGCCAGTTTCCATGTTTCTTAGTCATACAAGAAGCAATTAAAGAACATCTTACAGAAAAGTGGGCATTAAAAAGTAAAATTATAGTGGCATATGGAATGATGGCTCAGGGTTACAAGCACTTCCTGCTCTTGCAAAGGGCCCAACTTCAGTTCCCAGCACCCACATTGCATGGGTTACAACTGTGTTTAATTCTAGCTATTTCCAAGGGACCCAACACCCTCTTCTGGACTCTTGGGGTATCTGGACTCACATGCACACACCTACACATATAATTAAAAATAAGAAAACTTATTGTTAAAGGTAAAATTGGTGTTCTCACGTTCTTCAATGTCTAGGACATTGCAAATACCATAGCTTGAAACCAAATAGAATTCTCAAAGCTTTAATCCTGCCATTCAGCGGTAAGCTCTCTTGTGAGTTCGATGCCAATCTGGTCTATATACTGAGTTCCAGTACAGCCAGGGATACAACAGAGACACACTATTATAAAAATTCTAAAATATTACTGTGGTTTGAGACATGCCCAACTGAGGATAGCACTCAGGAGCTAATAGCCAAGTTCTTACCCAAGAAGAGCAAAAAAAGGGCATGCAGTGGTGTTGCATTCCTTTAATTCCAGCACTTGAGAGACAGAGGCAGGCAGATTTCTGAGTTTGAGGCCAGCATGGTCTACAAACAGAGTTCCAGAATGGCCAGGACTGTTGTGGTGATACTTTGCTTATGATCTAACAAATAAATCTTGTCTGGAGATCAGAGTGCAAAGCTAGCCAGCCATACTAGTTAGTCACAGTTGTCCAGGCAGTGGTGGTAGGCACCTTTAATCCCAGCACTTGGGAGATGGAAGCAGACAGATCTCCATTAGTTCAAGGCCACCCTGAGCTACACGAAATTGAATCTGTCTAAAAGAGAAACAGAGCTCACACAAAGTTGATCTCAGCACTTGGGATCCCATGCCTTTAATCCCAGCACTAGAGAGGAATATAAGGGGGGAGGAAACAGTCTGAGGTTTTGTGGAGAGCAGTGCTGCCTGGAAATGCAACCTAAGGACAGCATTGTCCCTTTGGTCTGAGCACTGGTACAGGTGAGAATTCTTTAGTGGTTTGGCTGCTTTGCTTTTCTGGTCTTCATCTGTAACCCCAATATCTGTCTCTGGATTTTTTTATTATTTGTGT